CCATATGACCAAGCAATTCTATTCCTAGGTATATTCTCAAGAGAAACGAAAACATATGTCCACATGAAAATTCATACACAAATGGCCATAGCAGCATTATTCATAATGACTAGCCAAAAAGGGAAACAACCCAAATGTCCATCAACTGAGGAACGGATAAATAAAATTAGGACATTTATACAATGGAATATTATTTAGCCATAAACAAGAATCAAGTACTGATAAATGCTACAACATGATGAACCTTGAAAACATTTTGCTAACGTCATAAAAGACCACATATTGTATGATTCCATGTATGTGAGATATCCAGTATAGGCAAATCTATAGAGACAGAAGGTAGATTAGTCTTTGCTTAGGGCTAGGGACAGAGTTGTGAAGGGAGATGGGGAGTGACTGCTAACGGGTACAGCGTTTCTTATGGGGAGGCAGAAATATTCTAACATTAGATTGGAGTGATGGTTGCACAACTCTGTAAAATACTGAAAAACATTGAATTGTACATTTTATTTAAATGGATAATTGTATGGTTTGTGAATTTTATCTCAAAAAAAGCTGATTTGCCATATCAATATCCAGTTTGGGCTCTAGTCCTTAAACACTACCATATATGAACCTGCATTGAAATGATCTGTTTTTATGCCACTTGCTTCATGAGGTAGGGCCTATAACTTTGTATCTCCAGTGTCTAGCACAGCTCCTTATACTTAGTAGCCACCTAAATATCCATTGAACTGAAATGGCAGTAGTATTGTGATTAGTTTGAAAGGGGAAAAGTTAGCCAGTAATTATCATCTTCAAAGACTCAGGGCTTCCTCTACTCTCTGCCCTTTGCCCATTGGATATTCATGTCATATCATCACCGTCATCTGCTTTACTACTTGCAAAGCGTTCTGATACTTTATTTAAATCTGAAAATAGGGCTAACTGGTTAGCCTAGCTGGTTAGGGTGCAGCCTTATAACCCTAAGTTCATAGGTTTAGATTCCAGTATAGTACAGCTGCCAAAAAAAAAAAAATCTAAAAATAACTCGTGAGATCAGTATTATTATTAAGCCGTTCTACAGAGAAGGAAACTGACTCAAGTAACTTCACTCAAATCAGCCTTTACTACTTGCAAAGCGTTCTGATACTTTATTTAAATCTGAAAATAGGGCTAACTGGTTAGCTTAGCTGGTTAGGGTGCAGCCTTATAACCCTAAGTTCATAGGTTTAGATTCCAGTATAGTACAGCTGCCAAAAAAAAAAAATCTAAAAATAACTCGTGAGATCAGTATTATTATTAAGCCATTCTACAGAGAAGGAAACTGACTCAAGTAACTTCACTCAAATCAGCCTGGACATTGCCAGACTTGAAAGCTGGGGCCTTTGCACTGCACTACAGAGTTCATGATCAGGTCCCTGCCTGCTGGTAGCATGCCTGCATCACAGAGCAGGCCAACTACAGATGGTTTATGAGCCTCTGAGCTTGTCTTATTTCAAAGTCAAAGAGAAATGATCATTTTGGTTGTGCATTATATTATAATGGCAGTTCTTGGGGTAAAGCAGTCAAGAGTTAAAACCATCAGTAGAAGTATAAAATAAAAGTCAGCAGTTTTTATCAATCCCTATGTTCTGTTGCAAATGGATCTCTGATGGCAAGAAAAATTGATTCTTAGTATCAGAGGCTGGTTTGTGCTGTGCCCATGATTTTATTTATTCTGTTCTGGAGAAATGAGTAATAAGCCCATTTGCTTACTTTCCCTGAGGCTGTGCTAGTTCTGCCGCACAACAGTTGGAGAAATTCAATTCAGCAGACATTTATGGATGTGCCGTCCACTTGCCTGGTGGTATACAAGGAGCTGGGGATCCAGAGAGGAATAAGCCCCAGTCCTTGTTCCATGCAGTTGTCCTTGTAGGGGGAGGATTTGGGTGAGTTTGCTTTTACATTTTGGTAAAGTACGATCCTTCTCTCAGAAAGTTACTGTCTGAAATGTAAGAGCTTTCTGTTTGTGGAACGTACAGAAAGAGAAGGAATGACACAAATATTTAGAGCTTAACAGGGATACAAACTGATCTTTCACGTCAGGCCAACCTTGTTAGATTCAGAGTTTGATGACATTTCATCCCTTTGGAGATTAGTAGAATCCATTTATAGGCTCTCAATACAAGCATGTGGATTTGCACTAGTGAAAGTTAACTCACCTGCCACACTTTTGTCAGATCATCTTGTCCATGCATCCGATGAATTTATTTACAAATGCTAAAAGTAATATATCAACATTGGGCTGGCCTGGTGGCACACTCAGTAGAGTGCGGTGCTTGGGAGCGCGGCGACGCTCCCGCCGAGGGTTCGGATCCCATATAGAGACCGGTCCGCTCACTGGTTGAGCGCGGTGTGGGCGCGACACCGAGGGTTGCGATCCCGTTGCCGGTCGCAGTACGGGCGCAACACCGAGGGTTGCGATCCCATTACCGGTCACGAAAAAAGACAAAAAGGAAAAAAAAAAAGGTAATATATCAACATTATAAAAGTGCAGGAAATGGAGGACAATTACAGTGGGAGTAAAATAGTCACCTGAAATGTCACTACCTTGATACTGAGAAGCAGTTGGACTTTGGACAGATTATCTTTGCACCTCAGTCCCCTCATCTGTAAAACTGGGAATAGTAATAGTACTGTACCTCTTCATGGTGCTTTGCCAGGACTAAATGAGATAGCAAGTGTAAAGCACACCCAAAAAACCCACAATAAATGTGTATTGTATTAGAGCAAAAATAAACATTTTTGTATAGCCCCTTTGTCTTATTTTTCCTGGTTTTTTTTTTTTTTTTTTTTTTTTTTTTTTTTTTTTTTTACAGAGTTATTTTTTTCTGTTGTGCTTTTGTGCCCTGGTTTTTTTCTGCACATTATTATATGATTATTTTCCATCTTGCTGTGTGCGATTACCGTAATTTTTAGTGGTTGCATGCTGCTCCATGACAGGGTGGGGGTGCACCATCATAGCTTATCCATTCCTCTGTTGTTGGACGTTTAGGTTGCTTCCAATATTTTAATATTGTAAACAGTGCTTCAGGAAACAGTTTTATATATGTAGTGTATTCACTTACTTCCTGGAAAATCTTAGGCAGGTTACTTAATCTCTGTGTCTTTGTTTCCTTGTTTGCTAAATGAGGACAGAATAGTATCTACCTGAAAGGATAGCCATGTGGATTCACTGAGGCAGTCCAACAAAGCACATGGAACGGTGCCTGGCACTTACCAGGTACTCAGTAAACATTACATCTTCATCTCTGTTTTGTTTATTTCTTTAGGCTTGCTCTTCAGAGATGGGGTTTCTTTTTTTTTTTTTTCCTTTTTGTCTTTTTTTACTGACCGGTAACGGGATCGCAACCCTCGGTGTCACGCCCGCACCGCGCTCAGCCAGTGAGCGGAACCGGTCTCCACATGGGATCCGAACCCTCGGCGGGAGGCCGCGCTCCCAAGCGGCACACTCTCCAGTGCGCCACCGGGCCAGCCCGAGATGGGGTTTCTTGATTCTGTGCTTTCCAGAAGGATTTTAGCACTATGATGTCAGCAGCAGTATGTGAAAGGACCAGTTTCGTGACACCCTGATTAATAACTCTCTTTCCCTTTAAAATAATAGTGAAAAAAAACAAGTTCATCCATATTCGGGCAGCTTGTTATGACTGGGACTCACTTCTGCTCACTCACCTGAACAGTCAGACCTCTCCTACACCAAGGTCAGGTGCCAGAGGCTGTTTGGAAGTCTGCTTTTCTGAAGTTTTCAGTCCCCAGCTGTATCCCACCAAATGGTACTGTAAGTTGGTGCTACGAAGTTTAAAAAACCAGCGTATTTTATTCCTCACATACTGTTAGGCGTTTTTGTATTTTTATTTTTTACAAAACAAGGCAACAGTTTGCTGTAGGAAAATCTGTATTGCAGGTAATGACCTTGATAATCTCTCCAGAAGAAGGAAATTGGCAAGGGTGACCATATGTCCTGGTTTGCCCAGTTTATACTTGTTGTCCTGGTGTAATTATTCATAGCATTTTATTCACCCTCAAAAGTGACCTAGTTTGGATGATAAATTATATTGTCATCCTATCCCCAGGGGATTCCTCAGCAGCAGGGGTAACTGCCTACACTTGCCACCTCTGTTCTCCCCTGGACGACTTGCTGTCCAACAAAGAGGTTTCAGCCACAATGCTTTCACCACACCTGACCCGGGAGGTTCTCCTACACATGTCTAGCCTCTTTGGAATTCACATTAGCCCAACAGGAGTCCACTGAAGTGTTCTCGTTTTATCGTTCTTTTTTTCTCCATGTCTTGCTGATGATTGTCAATGGCATGGGCAGGGCACTTTTCATTTGTTTCAAACATTGCCCTTTATCCTTCACAATTATTTATTTTGCAGCTCATCCCATAGGCAAATGTAACATTTACCATCTCTCACCACTTGCCATTTTAAAAATAATGTCTGCTTTCAATGTCGTCTTAAATGTAAACCTCTTCTTACTAGGATTTTTAACACTCACTGCTCTTGCCTTTATCCAACAAAATAAGGTTAAGTATATTCATAAAGCACCTCAAAAGCCCTCATGCAAACGGAAGCAGGTCAATGATAAGTAATCAACAAGGACGAATCCAAAGAGAAAGGGCAAAACTCCTGTCTCCGTGATTGGCACAGGCAGAGTTTTGTTCCTAGGATGGGAGTTTATAAGTACAGAAGCTTCTGCATTGGAGAAAACAAAAACAAATTAGCTTCTCTCTGATGATTACCTTGTGTACTTTGGTAACTGTGTCTGAACTGACATAAAGGGCTTTATGATTTGAGAGGTTCTCTTTTCCTCAAACAAGTAGCTGCATTCCTTGGGTACCATGTTCATGTTTTAAGGGTTTGGGAAAGCTAGTGTTTTGCTGAGGGGTCATGCCAGTTTGAACCAGTGTGGGGGCTGCAGTTCACAAGTCAGGGTATGGATTCTCAACAGAAGATTTGTTTTCTGTTTATTTAACTAGGCGACTTTCGGATGGTGGTTGGAGAGGAAAAGTCAAAAGTGTTGAATATTGTGAAGCCCAACGTAGCCCACTTCCGTGAGCTCTATGGCAGCATATTGCAGGAGAATCCCCAAGTGGTATATAAAACCCAGCAAGGCAGACTGGAGGTAAACTGTGTGTGGAAAGTAACTGATGTTGTTTCTGAGGCAAGAGCTGTTTGAAGGAAAAAGTAAGGGGTAGAACTGTATGACTAGTGTGATGTTTATATTTTAAAAAGTGAGTGTTGTATGTAAACACATGCTTCTGTGTATTTGGAATAAGGCTGAAGGTAACACAGACCAGGGGCTGCCTTTGGAGAAAGGAACTAGGGACAGAAGTGGGAGAAAAACTTGTTTTCACCATGTACATCTTTTCTGCCATTTGAAATACTTAGCATGTGTATTATTAGTCAAAATGAGTAAAAATAAACTGTCAGATTACTCTATTTCCATCCCCAATCCCATTTGCCTCCCCAGAGGTAACCGTACTGACAGTTTGGTGTATATTTTTCCAGCTCTTTTTGCCTGCATTTTTGTGAATATTTGTACATATGCACATGTATGAAGAGATTTAGTCTTTTTGTTTGGTTTTATTTTACATAGATGGGCTCATACTTACACAAATTATTCTGAAGCTTGCTCTTTCCCCCACTTTGTATGTTTATTATGTCTTGGAACTTTTCTTTTTGATATATCAAACAAGGCATTTTTTTAAAGTAATGTTATTAAGTGTTTGAAAATAAAAATCAAAGAACTTTCCCTTAGAGAAGAGTAATCAAGGTTTAAGATTTTTTTAAACTATAGAAACCACAGTTTTGTTTTTTTCTTTTATGCTCTTCCTCATTCATGTAATAG